CTCAGTGAAAAACCAGCAGGATGGATGAGTGACCAACAGGAATGACGGGGGACAAAGGGCACCTGAATGACTGTCTCCCTATGCACCTGTATTTTATTTTGATGTATTCATTTTGAAGCTCATTTGCTGAGACAAAGGATCACCTATTTAGAATTTCAGTAGAGTTGCTGGACTGCCCCCCCCGGTCCATCCCCATCCAGCAACACCAGCTCCTGTTACCTGGTCTCAAACTTCTGCTAAACTGCTGGGTGAAAGAACAGCCTCCCTCTCCAGGTTATTCTCTCTCACTGTTTTGTTCTGTTTTTCCTCTTCTGGGCCATTGCCCATTGCCACGGGCTAAATCTTTTTCTGCCCTTTGCCAGAGGCCGTTGTAGGTCAGAGTAGGTAACTGTTTATCATGTAGATTGACACCTCCTCCCCTATCCAGCCCAGTGTCAGGATTACTGGGGGTGACATCACCGAGACACCAGTGCACTTTTGACTGAGTCACTGGCGCTGTCCTCTCTTGTTCTTCTGGAGGCGGTCACCATGACCCCACAGAGCCTGAGGGCAGCCCTCTGCACACGCTGGATGTGGGGATGACACAGGCATTTTGTGAGCCCCAGCCCCCCGCTGCACTGGCCGGCAGCAGTACAGGGACAGACCTTGGCTCGTTGACCAAATATGAACATTAGAGAGGAAGCTGATCATTTAAGTGATATATTTAAAATTCATCTGAAAGAAGAAACTCAGAACAACCAGAGCAACTAATTTCAATAAAGAAAGAAAGGAAGGCTAACCCACTTCATTCTAAGGCCCACCCAGCCCTCATCCCCCCCGCCACACGGGCAGAGTGTCTGTCCCCACGGTGTCTCACAGCTCCTGTCTTCTCTTGCAGCACTCCCTACAAAGTGAGACCTGTGGCCATCAAGCAACTCTCTGGTAAGGTGCTGCTGCCATTTTTTAAATTAACAACAAAAAAAGAACGACTGAGCTTGTCCTGTGATTAAACATACCAGCTAAGCATTTGAATCTACAGCTGATAGCATTACAGAATCTGAAACATTGTGCAGACTGCAGAGGCTCTGCGGCATCGACCCACCAGGCCCCCCAAGTCCCTGAGGGCTCAGCAGGTGCTGGCCACCTTCCCCTCTGTCTTCCCGGCCCCCAACCAGGGCCCCTCGCTGTGACTGCCAGGAGGGGCCATCTGCAGCCCCTGTGCCCCTGGCCTCGTGCAGCCATTGTGCTGTGTGAGAATCCCTTTCTGTGTGGATCTCACATCACTTTTACTCGTGCATGATTTACACAGAATAAAATGAACCCATTTAAGTGCCTGTTCTGATGAATTCTGAAAAATGTCTATAACTCCTTGTGACCATCACCAAAATCACAGCACAGCGTTTCCGCCCCCCGGAGACGTTCTCTTGTGCCTTCCCCGTTTTTTCTCAGTCCACGCCCGGCCTGCTTCCTGTCACCATCCATCAGATTTGTCCTTCTGAGAGTTTCAGTACACAAGCTCTCTTTTCACTCAGCGTGATGTGTTGAGACCCACCCATGGTGTGTGTACGGATGGCTCATTCCTTTTGGATGTGGTTCAGTTTTTGTTGAAATTACCCCAGTGAGTTCTCCTTTCATTTGTGAGTGAAGATACAGATTGTTCCCAGTTTGGAGGCTTTTATGAATAAGGGCATTAAAGTACAAGTATAAAGTATATATTTTCATATACTTTATTTCATTTGGATAAATACCTATGTCCCTAGGCCCTAAGGCCTTGCCATGTTTTTTATAAAGTTAAAAAGATAGGAGAGCCTGTCTGGGGGTGTCTGATGTTTTTCTAGGATCTGGGTGGGTGGGTTTTTGGAAGGAGTACAAGCATGATGTCCACGTGGCCTCGCTGGCTGGCTTCCCCATGGTGGGTAGCTGTTCACCCCCTTCCTTACTCTTCCTTGGTAGTGAGCATTGAGTCGAGCCCACCTAGGGGAGGAGGAAGAACTCAGGGTGTTTTCTCTGCACAGATATCCATTCGCTCCAGCACCATTTGTTGAAAAGATGATCCTTTCTCCCACTGAATTACCTTGACACCTTGGTCCAAAATCAGTGGGCCATTTCTGTGCCCTTTTCTGGACTTTATAGATCCTGTTCCATTAAATATACACGTCAGTCCTCAGACCTACAGCACAGTGCCTTGAGCACTGCACACGGATACCAGGTCTGGAGATCAGGTAGCAAAAGTCCTTTGGCTTCTTTCAACTTTTTCAAAAATGTGACCGCCGGCTCAGCGCCTGTAGCACAGTGGTTACGGCACCAGCCCCATACACCAAGACTAACAGGTTCAAACCCAGCCCAGGCCAGTTAAACAACAAAATTGTCATTGCTTTTATTTTCACACAAATTGTAGAATCAGTCTGTCAGTTGAAATCAATAAAAGAATTCTGTTAGGATGTTGATCGAAATTGCATTAAGTACACAGACAAATCTGGGAAGAGTTCTATCTTCATAATGTTGAACCTCCGTGGTGTGCCTCTCGGTCTGCTTGGGTTTCCTCGAATGTTTCGTAAGGTGTGACAGTCGTCAGCGTAAAGCCCTTGAATATATTCTTGGTACAGCTCGTGGTAAAGTCTTTGCTATTTCATATTTGTAATGCTATTGTAAATTTGTTTTTTTTTTAATTTCAATTTCTGGGAGTTTTTAGTTTACAGAAATTGGCTTTTGTGGACCAACCTTGCTAACCTCATTTATTAATTAGGTCTAGGACCTGGTTGTCAGCGTCCTGTGATTCTGTAGATGGTTTTCTACATCTGCCGATGAAGAATGGCTTCTTCCATCTAATCCTGATGCCTCTTGCTTGTTAGTTCCCTTTCCCGCCTGGGGCACTGGCCAGGAGATCCCCCACTGAGGAGAGGCTAAAAGCAGAGATCACTGCTTCGTCCTTAAGTTAGGGAACTGCGAGAAGTCTTTTCACGTCAACTGTGTGTCGTTGCTGTAGCTGTTTCTGTGGATACCCTTTATCAAGTAGGAGGTTTTGTCTGGTTATTCTATTTCTGCTTTGTTTAGATTTTAACCCTAAACTGGTGTTGAATTTGTTCAATGTTTTTTCTGCCCCTGTTGAGATGATGTTTTCTCTCCTCTATTCTGTTAATTGTGGATTATACCAGTTGCTTTCAACCCATTAAACTAACTTTGCATTCTTGGTATGAATTTGGGGC